AGTAGATCAAACAACAAATCAATAACTTCATCCAAGAAAATGACAATAATGAGACAACATAGAAAAACTTATAAGAGGCAGTGAAAGGAGTTCTTAGGGGATGTTTTATATCTCTCAATGCTTACATGAATAAAATAAAGAAAGAAGAGATCAATGAATTGAGCATGCAACTAAAAACGCTAGAAAAAGAACAAATTAAAAGTCCCCAATTAAATACTAAATTAGAAATTCTGAAAAAGGAGAGATTAATAAAATTGAAATTAAGAAAACTATTGAACTAATAAATAAAACTAAGAGCTAGTTTTATGAAAAAAAAAAACAAAATAGGTAAACCTTTGGTTAATTTGATAAAAAAAAAAAAAGAACAGAACCAAATTACCAGCATCAAAAATGAAAAGGGTGAATTCACCATCAATGAAGAAGAAATCAAAACAATAATTAAGAGAAATTTTGCCCAACTGTATGCCAATAAATTTGAAAATCTTAGTGAAATGGATAAATATTTACAAAAATATAAATTGCCCAGCTTCAGGGAAGAGGAAATAAAATACTTAAATAACCCCATTTCAGAAAAAGAAATTGAATAAGCCATCAATGAACTCCCTAAGAAAAAATCTCCATGGCCACATGGATTTACAAGTGAATTCTATCAAACATTTAAAAAGCAATTAATTCTAATACTACCTAAACTATTTGAGAAAATAGGTGGAGTCCTACCACATTTGTTTTATGATATGAATATGTTGCTGATACCTAAACCAGGAAAAGTCAAAACAGAGAAAGAAATTTATAGACCAATTTCCCTAATGAGTATAAATGCAAAAATTTTAAATAAAATATTAGTAAAGAGATTACAGCAACTAATCTCAAAGATAATACACTATGACCAGGTAGGATTTATACCAGGAATACAGGGCTGGTTCAATATTAGGAAAACTAACAGCATAAATGACCATATCAACAACAAAACTAATAAAAATCATATGATTATCTTAATAGATGCAGAAAAAGCATTTCACAAAATACAACATCCATTTCTATTAAAAACACTAGAGAGCATAGAGTCTTCCTTAAAATGAGAGGTGACATTTATCTACCTAAAACCATCAGCAAGCATTATATGTAATGGGAATAAGCTAGAAACATTTCCGATAAGATTGGGGGTGAAACAAGAATATCCATTATCACCACTGTTATTCAACATTGTACTAGAAATGTCAGGTTTAGCAATAGGAGAAGAAAAAGAAATTGAAGGAATTAGAAAAGACAAAGAAGAAACAAAGCTATCACTCTTTGCAGATGATATGATGGTATACTTAGAGAATCAAGTAAAAAATTACTTGCAATGGTAAACAAATTTAGCAAAAGTGCAGGATATAAAATAAACCAACATAAATTATCAGCATTTATATATTATCATAAAACCCAACAGGAAGACATAGAGAAATTCCATTTAAAGTTAATTTAAACATTATAAAGTATTTGAGAGTCTACCTGCCAAAATAAACTCAGAAACTATATGAACACAATTATAAAACACCTTTCATACAAATAAAGTCAAATCTAAATAATTGTAAAAATATCAGTTGATTAGGCAAGACCAATATAATAAAAATGACAATTGTATCTAAATTAATTGACTTATTCAGTGCCATAGCAATCAAACTACTAAAAAATTATTTTATAGAGCTAGAAAAAACAATACCTAAATATGCCTAGAAGAACAAAAGGTCCAAAACATCAACGGAACTAATGAAAAGAAATCCAAGGGATGGTGGCCTATCTGTACCAGATCTTAAATTGTATTATAAAGTAGCAATCATTGAAACTAATTGATACTGACTAAGAAATAGAGTAGTGGATCAGTGGAATAGGTTAGGTACATAAGACTCAATAGTCAATGACAATAGTAATCTACTATTTGATAAATCTAAAAACTCTTGCTTCTAGGGTATGCACTCACTATTTAACAAAAACTGCTGGGAAAACTGGAAAATAATATGGCAGAAACTAGGCATAGACCAACATCTTACTCCCTATACCAAGATAAAGTCAAAATGGATACATGATTTAGCTATAAAGACCGATGCTATAAGCAAACTAAGAGAGCAAGGAATAGTTTGCCTATTAGCTCTATGGAGAAGGGAAGAATTTATGACCAAACAAAAGACAGAGAACATTATGAAATACAAAATGGATGACTTTGATTACATTGAATTAAAAAGGTTTTGCACAAACAAAGCCAATGCAGCCAAGATTAGGAGGAAATTTTTACAGCTAGTGCTTCTGATAAAGGCCTCATTTCTCAAATATTTAAAAAACTGAGTTGAATTGATAAGAATACAAGTCATTCCCCAATTGATAAATGGTCAAAGGATATGAACAAGCAGTTTTCAGAGGAAGAAATTAAAGCTGTCTATAGTTACATGAAAAAAATGCTCTAAATCACTATTGATTAGAGAAATACAAATCAAAACAACTCTGAGGTGCCACATCACACCTATCAGATTGGCTAACATAACAAAAAGGGACAATGATAAATGTTGGAGAACATGTGAGAAAATTGGAACACTAATGCATTGTTGGTGGAGTTGTGACCTGATACAACCATTCTAGAGAGCAATTTGGAACTATGCCCAAAGAGCCATAAAAATGTTCATACCCTTTGACCCAGCAATAGCACTTCTAGGGCTGTATCCCAAAGAGATCATAAATGGACCTATATGTACAATAATATTTATAGCAACTCTTTTCATGTTGGCAAAGAATTGGAAATTGAGAGGATGCCCATGAATTGGGGAATGACTGAAAAAGTTGTGATATATAAATGTAATGGAATACTATTGTGCTGTAAGAAATGATGAGCTACAAAATTTCAGAAAAACCTGGAAAGACCTATATGAACTGATGTTGAGTGAAATGAGCAGAACAAAGAGAACATTATACACAGTAGTAGCCACATTGTGTAATGACTGACCTTAATAGACCTCACTTTTCTCAGCAATGCAAGGATCTAAGACAAGTCCAAGAAACTCATGATGGGAAATGCTATTCAAATCCAGAAAAAGAACCATGGAGTCTGAATGCACATGGAAGCATACTATTTGCTCTCCTTTTCTTTTGTTGTTTTGTTTTGTTTCTTCTTTCTCATGGTTCCTCCCATTAGTTCTAGTTCTTCTGTACATCTTGACTAATGTGAAAATATGTTTAATGTGAATGTATAAGTAGATCCTATGTCAGATTACACAATGTCTTGGGAAGGGGGAAAGAGAAGGAGGGAGAGGAATTTAAAACTCCAAATGTTATTGAAGTGAATGTTGAAAGCTAAAAATAAATAAATTATTAAAAATAAATAAATGCAACATTGTCGAAGACCATTAGGAGCTTGAGGGAATCATAGAAAACTTCATGTACAAGGTGGTGTTTGAGCTGAGTCTTGAAGGAAGTAAGGAATTCTAAGACTCAAAAACATGAGGAGGGAAGACATTTCTGGCATGGAGATGGGAGGTGGAGTGCCATGTGTGAGGAACAGCGTAAAACACCAATTTGGCTGGATTACAGAGTGTAAGAAAAAAGTATTGTTTAATAGTTTTGGAAAGGTATATTGAAGATAGGTTGAGGAAGATTTAAAATTCTGGAGTGCTGTTCATTCAGTCAGTCATATCCAACTCTTTGTGACCCCATGGACCATTGAATCCCAGCTCTTCTATCCTCCACTGTCAGCTGAAGTCTGTCCAAGCTCATGTAAAAAATGTTGTGGTTCAGTAACATCCAACTTTGTGACTCCATACAGGGTTTTCTTGGCAAATTTATACTGGAGTCATTTGCCATTTCCTTCTTCAGTAAAGTGAGGCAAACAGGGGTTAAGTGACTTGCCCAGGTTCACACAGCTAGTGAGTTTCTGAGGTGAGATTTGAACTCAGGTCTTCCCAACTCCAGGCCCAGCACTCTATGCACTGAGTCACTTAACTGCCTCCAAAATTCTGGAGTAGTTTATATTAAAGGCTTTGGTGTCTATTAGGAAGATCAGAAAAATAAATGCATAATGGTTCCATCTCTTGTTCCTGTTATGTTTCTGTGATGCTGCCCTGCCTTTCTCCAGTTGTGTTGTGACTCAATTACCCTACTTGAAGAGAACGTGGTAAATATTGACCTGCCTTATTCTAAGCTCTGTATACTGTCTCTCTTCTGAAAACCTTATGGCATTTAAGAGCAGAGAGTTGGTTTTCCAAGAAGGAGTTGTGGATGTTAGGAAGAAATACAATTAGCTGTCAGACTATCTGCCTGATTTTCATTATTACAGTGTCCTTTCTGGATACCCAGCTTGTTACTGTCTCTGCCTGGAGATAGAGTGAATGTGTTTGCCTAATGCCAGAGGCTAGAGCAACTAAACAGCCAGTTCTATTTCTGGCTCTAGGTGGACCAACCATCCATGCAACTGGCCAAAGGAAATGGTTCGAAATCTGGCACTGAGTTCCAGAGGTGGGGCATGAGTTGGGCATGTTGCTAATACAACCACTTCCTTTTATAGACAAATAAACTGAGGACTGGGAAGATGAAATGGAGCACAACGGTGGGGAGCTCTAGGGAATTCTGAGATGGACATCCATCCTTTTGTTTTCATAAAACTTTGGGGAGTTAGAAAAGTACTGGGTCAGAGTTGCTCATTGAGGATAAATTTACACAGCTCGTGGGAAATTTAGTTTTTGTCTCCCTCATTAGAATGTAAACCCCTTGAGGTCAGGGACCATATTTTTACCCTTTTTTGTGTCCCCAGTACTTGGGTCTTAGAGGCTATGAAAACTCTTCAGGCTACTGATCATCCAAGTTATCTTACTGTTTCCTTAGGAAACACTCTAAATTCCACTTTGCCTTTTACTAGCTATGGATCAGGAAACCTATCTTGACCCATAAGTTACCATTTCTTCTTTTATCAAAAGAAATTAGACCTCAAGTTCCTTGGAGGTTATTGACTTTTTTTTTCCGGTTTGTTTCCACAGAACGAACGATCAGTTGGTGGCATTTCTCTCTCGATACCGGGACATGAACTTCTTGAAATCACATGGCAGAGACAATGCAAGGTACCCTCTTTTTATCTTAAACTTTTGTAAAAACCAACTGGATTCTATGAACAGCCACTCTGTTCTCTCCTTGTTTGCCTTAGGTCTTGAAATGAGAATATGCCGCGTGAATCATACAGTACTATTACCCTAAACCAGATTCAGCTCACCCTTTAATGCCATTTATAGATTTGCTCTGTCTTGCCTACAAACTAAATTGTTAAAGTTTAAAAGTGGCTATGGAATTTTTGAAGACTGCATGTAAGTGTTGATTATTGTAACACCCAGAAGACTCTACCTACTCAGTCATAGAGAAAGTCTGCCATAGTGAGTAGAGTCCTGGCCTAGAAGCCAAGAAGATTTGGTTCAGGTTCTGTCTCAGACACATGTTGGCCCTGTGACCTTGGGCAAACCACTTGACCTCTTAGTATCCAAAGTGCTGGCCTATATTGATGAAAGAACTTCCCTCATCTCTAGGTTCCCTATATCAATGAAATCATAGGTTCAGTTGTTATTCCTATCTCATAACCTATCCCATGTTGAAATCTATCTCAGTGAAGTTCCCACACTAGTAATGCCTCTTACTGACAAAATGATAAAGCCTTCAGTATTCATATAATCTTGGACAGAGTTAAGTGATGATGGGGCTCATCATTACAGAGAGATGAGAATGGGATGGTGTTAATAAGAAAAGGCTTCCTGGAAGTGATGAGTTACCTGGATTTGTATAGACACTGAATGTTATTCCTATAACCCTTAATGAAGAGTGAGGGGCCCCATGCATCCCCATTAGAAAAGCATCTCCAGTAGAAAAGCACCATACCTTGCTCCAGGCTAGATTCAATCTGTGCTGGAATGATCATTTAAAGCAGATCTATGTGCATAGTAATTGGATTGGGCCTGGCACCACAATATTACTATGTGGCAAAACATAGGCGACTTCTTGAGGTGTGAGCATATCCTATACAGATGACTGGCGGGCCATGCTCTAGTTGGCAGAGTCAGCTCACCAATGGGGCTGAACTAGAACTAGACATAGGGAAGTCTGTAGCAAAGAGGACGTCTCACCTTTCTATTTTTCCCAGGGCAGTGATCAGCCTTAAACCCCAGAGCCCTCTTACTGAAATATTTAATGAATCCTGGCACTTGAACATAAAGCAAGGCTTAAGTTGCCAGTGTCAGCTGGGACTCAGATAATTTAGATCAATTATGCACACTAATTCAGCATTAATTTAATAGTGAAATGTGCTAATATGCCACTTGTCTGCTCCTCAGAGTAATGTTCTCTTCTTTATTAGCCAAAACAGTGCCTGCTGCATATATGCCACAGCTCTTCTCCCATCTAACACAACTCAAGAATCTGGCCTTCTCTGTTCCAGCCCAGAGACACAGTCTTCCTCATTTGTGACCTTTGCCAGAAGGGTGATGGCTCCTGATTCTTCTAAGCTGTCAGGAGAGTCCCTGGAAGGAATATTGGGATCCAGAAGTGACCAGGGCAAACAGTTAGAGCAGGGCCAGCCCTTAGACATGATTACTTACATGACAGAATCTCTCTATATCCTGTCTGATAACTGACCTCTCTTAGAGTTCCAGGGTTGTCCTCTGCATTCACACCCACTGATCTTATACTTCCCCTTTTCCATCCCAACCACACATATCCCTTTACCCACAGCTTTTCACAACCATGCCCAGAAATACCTTTTCCCCATCCCATCTTCTCTTTTTGAAGTTTCCCTCTTATATATTTTAGGAATAACATTTCTGAAGCTACCAGGGTCATTACTTCTCTTAGGTAATACACATCAATCCTCACAGAGACCTGGAGGCAGTGGCCCACCATTATATGAGGAAATAAGAAAGTCTAAATAGGTATTTGTAGGCCAAGTAGAGTGATATCCCATTGGGCTAATGGAAGGAGGCATTTTTAAGGTAGAGGCCCTCATGAGGCCATATGAGTCACCTTCCATAATATAGCTCCTGGTTCTAGTCCCAGCTCTTCAGGTTGCTAACTGTGTAACCTTGGACAAGCCACAGTATCTACAAATGCTTTCTGACTTGACTTCTCTCTGGCAATTACTTTTCTGTAAAGGTGGAGACATACATACATATACATATATACTTGCATACATATGTATACACATACACACAAGCATGTACATAGGTAGACAGATACGCATTCAGAAACTTTTTCTGTTTTGTCGTTTCAGTTGTGTCTGACTCTTTGTGACTCCATTTGGGATTTTTTAACAGAGATAGTGTAGTGGCTTGCCATTTCCTTCTTCATCTCATTTTACAGATGAAGAAACTGAGACAAACAGGGTGAAGTGACTTGTCCAAGAACACACAGCTAGGAAGTATCTAAGGCCAGATTTGAACTTGTGAAGATGAGCCTTCCTGACTCCAAGCCTGGCACTCTTATCCACTGTGCTACCTAGTTCACACACACACACACACACACACACACACACACACACACACACACACAC